ATAATCTAGCATGTTGGTTTTCTCTCCTGTGATTACCTCTCACTCCACTCTGCCAAAGTAATCTCTTTAATTACAGTACAGATCAACCTTTCCCTAAAATTCTAAATTATCCTTCTATTGCTTAAAAAGTCAGCAAATTAAACAAACAAGCAAATTCAAAGCTCTATACTTACCCTTCCTCACCTTCTCTCACTTGACCATCTCTGATCTTACCTTCCACCATCCTCAATCCTCTACACTACAGTAAGAATCCTCTGCTCAGCCTAGGAAAAGAACTCTGGTGGTACAGTGGTTAAGGCATTTGGCTGCTAACCAAAAAGTCAGTGATTCTAACCCACCAGCCACTCCATGGGAGAAATATGAAGCAATCCATTTCTGTAAAGATTTCCAAATCAAACCAAACTCACTGCTATCGAGTTGATTCCAACTCATAGTGACCCCCATTGGGTGGTAAATCCTTACCTAAGTAGATTGCCCCATCTTCCTTCTATGGAGTGGCTAATGGGTTTGAACTGCCAACCCTCTGTTTAATAGTCAAATATCTTAGACATTGTGCCACCAGAGCTCCTAAAGATTTTCAGCCTTGGAAACTCTATGGAGGCAGTTCTACTCTGTCCTATAGGGTTGGTATGAGTCAGAATTGACTTGATGGCAGTGGGCTTTGTGTTTTTGGTTTGTCTGGCCTGGGCTTGCTAATCAGTCCTGTAGACATACTTGGCATATTCTTGTCCCCAGAACCTTTTCTACTCTTCATCCTTCCTGCTCTCTATTGATTCTATTGAGTTAAAACCTAACTCAAATCCTTCTGCCTCACCAGTTTAGAATGACTCCTGAGACACCCACTGCCAATATCACTTTGTTGGTATTTAGTTACACACTAGTTTTATAGTAACTTTACCTGTCAAACCTGTGGGTCTTTTCAAACAGATTGCAAATGACTTGGGAGCAAGTACAGTGTTCTTTTACTTTTCTGTGTGATCCCAGAGCCCAGGACTATGTATACTGGCTGATGTATCCAAAAACCTAAAACCAAACCAAACTCACTGCCATCGAGCCAATTTTGACCCATAACAACCCCTTCTTAGGTTTCTGAGGCAGTATCTCTACAGAAGTAGACTGTCCAGTCTTCCTTCTGAGGAGTCGCTGGGTTTGAACCACCAGCCTTCTAGTTAGCAGTCAAATGCCTAAATTTAGCACTACGCCACCAGAGCTCCTGATGTATATCCATGGATAGGTTATATTTTTTGCCAAATGGAGTCGCCTACAAGGAATGGAAAAAATAGAGGCATTCTTGCTTGAATACCTAGACTGTAGCTGTATTTACATAAAACCAAATACTTGGTGAAATACAGAATATTGAAATAACATGGAGAACTTTTCAGATAGCCAAACGTTTATTACCTTTGAGATGGAAATGGCCCCTCTTACGTGTTTTTCACATGACTCAGAACATCATCCCTCAGACTTGGTGATAAGAGTAAGTAAATGACTGAGTTTTAGGCAGTTAATTTTGGCCAAATAACCTGAAAGAAATCTCTGAATGTAACTGAATTGGTTGGTGTTTCTCTGTGGTTTAGGCTGTAACGAAGCATGGACTCCTCCCCATCCACCTCAGGGCACAAATGTAGCTTTTTTTCCTGGAAAATCCTGATAGTCACACTTGAGGGACATGAGCTACACAGAGTTCTAGGGCAAACCTAATAGCACAGCCAGGAGCAGATAGACTGAACACTAACACCCAATATGCTGGAATTTCAGGAGCAAAAGACTTCCACTGCTGTACTAGAACTGACCTATGCTAGGACATCAAGTTATAGACCTCAGAACTAAAAGAGCCAATAGCGTTCATCCTGAGGATCATCTATAAATGACTGGAAGAGCTGGGTCAAGAAGACTCCCCTAAAAGTATCTTGTATAATTAGCCACATTTGCTATAAGCACAGGAAAAGATGGTATCTGCCTGACAGTCTTTCTAAATCTAGTTGTCCTTCAAGGCCCCTTTCAAGTACCCCTCCATCTTAAGGCTGGGGCTCCCTCTCACATCTTAATTCAGTGTTTATGTCAGTACCACATGCTTGTGTTGGCTGTTATTTATAATTGGACACTGTCTCTATCTATGTCTGGAGAGGCAAGAGTCCACCAAATTGGGAGGATTAAATCTTTGCTGTGGTTAATTCAGTGGGAACTGCGTTGTGACTATGCTAAAAGTGAATTAGAAATGAAGTAAGCGGCTACCGGAATGTCAGCAAAATGAAGCAAGAGGCAGAATCCTTCTCTCGCCCTCCCCTATGCCTGCTCCTGTGAGTTCATGGAGCAGGGGACATATAAGTGGCTCACTGGCTCCTGAAGGGGGTGCAAGACAAGGGCAGGGCTGAGCTTTGTCCTTGGAGCACTCAGGGCCTGTCCTGGGAGGTGAGAATTCTTCTGGGAAGCTTTCAGAGCCTGCCAGGCCAGGAATTTTTCAAGGAGGAATATGCTAAATGTGTGTGTTAGCTTTTGGATGAAAGGGTGTGTGACACCTGGAAAACATGTAGGTGGAAAAGAGCATTTCAGTGGTAAGTACTATGGCAGAGTCCTTTGCTTCTTCCTTTGAACAAAACTCCAATTTTGTTCAAGTGTTAAGAGAACCTCTGGGGAGCCTGGGCCCCTCTCCAGGCCTAAGAGTGACTCTCCATTTGTCAGAGCCAGACATAGTAATTCCCTTCTTGACCAGATTGGTTTAGGCGTGAACACACAATGGAATTCTGGCCAATAAGCTGCAAGGGGAAGTCTGTTGGGGGACTTGTGAGAAAGGTTTTATATTCCTAAAAATGGCCGTGTGAGGTGAAACTTCCTTTTTTCTCCTTTGGATGTAGCAGTATGAGGCTATGACACTTGGCGCTGTTGCAGATATTTTGTATTCATAAAGGGACAAGTCTGAAAATATACTGAGCATGGCAGAATAGGAAGAAGGAAAGAACTGGGGTTCTTCATGACTTTGTTGATCACTGAAGGAATTTTGGGAATTCAACAACTCCAGATATCTCTCTCTCTCTCTCTCTCTCTCTCTCTATATATATGTAAAATGGCACATTTCATCAATTTTGAGATGTACAGTATTTTACATTATAATATTTCCAAAATTAGGATGCATGTCATAGTTAAACTGGCAGCTTTTTTTTTTTTCTTTTCTTTTCTTAGTGGAACCTAATATAATTGGGGTAGCATAGTGGTTAAAGCACTTGGCTGCTAACCAGAAGGCTGGCGGTTCAAACCCACCAGCCACTCCTCGGAAGGAAGGTTGGGCAATCCTATTCTGTAGTGATATTGCCTCGGAAACCCAAGGAGTGGTCGCTATGAGTCGGGTTGAGGCACATAACAACAACAACAACAATATAATTGGGTGTTTTACAATGGGCTGAATCTAAGATTTGATGGAATGTGGAATGTCTCTATTGTTATGCATCTTTTAGTGGGTTTTCTACTACTTTCTTCTAAAAGTATCCTACCTGATAGGACTGTCCTCCTCACAGAAGAGAGCTCGGCAGGAAGAGCCCTGGAGCAGGAGGTCAGGAGCAGCCCTCCAGTGAGGATGGCTACATCTCTGAGTGGGGCTGGGCTCTGTGTCTCCTGAGAAGCAGACTCCACTATTCTTGGGGTTTGGAGGAAATCACCTGTGCAGGGCCCTCCTTCTCTCTAAGCAGAGGGACCATAAGCAACTAAAGGTCATGTCTGGCACTGATCTTAAAACAGCCAGTTAGATATGGGTATCATGTATAATGACAATGGTCTTGAGTTTTTTGAAATCTGGAGTCCAGGGCCGCTTAGCTGGAGAAGGAGAAAATGCTACAGGAGAGACCAGAAGTAGACAAAAACAAAACCAACTGCTGCCAAGCTGATTCTGACTCATGGCAACCCCATGTGTGTCAGAGTAGAACTGCACTCAATAAGGCCTTTAATAGCTGATTTTTCAGAAGGCAGGCCTTCCTTCTGAGGCAATTCTGGGTGGATTCAAAACACCAACCATTCAGTTAGTAGCTGCATACTTAACCATTTGTGCCAGCCGGGGACTCCAGGGTAGATGAGATAGAATTAAACATATGGATATAAACTTAGCTCCTACTCCCAATACCGTCTCAGTATTGGAGGCTACAATCTCACCCTGCACTCCTCACCCCATCCTGCTGCAGGCAGGAAGCAGAGCTACTGCCTGGCCACCCCATCCCCTAAAACTTCCTCCCATCCTCCCCAAGGGCAGCCTTCTCTTCCTCTCTTCTCTCCTCCTCTTTCTTCTCTCCTCCCATCTGCTCTGCTATCCCTAGTCATGGTTATATTTCTCTCCTACACAATTTGAAATACAAGATCATAAAATAAAATCCTGACTCAGCAGAGCCCTTGCCATCCCAGGCAGATGAGTGAGTGAATGACTGTGTGGTGTGCCCACTTCACTTAGGGGCAAAAGGGAGCTTTCTGATTCTTGGGAAATGAATTCTAGTTACATTTCCTTTGGACTTCTTTCCTTGAAGTCATTGAAAGACATATACAGGGTGTAATCTTACCCCAAGTGGCCTTCCTTGATGTTAAAGAGCAGAAGGGATGAGCCAGGTGAAGGGTGGGATCCTCTCTGTCCACATAACTCTGAGACCCAGATGGAGCATTCGGGGCTTTGGAGAAAATCACCCGTGCAGCACCCTCCTTCTCTCTAAGCAGAGGTCACCATAAGCAACTAAAGGTCATGTCTGGCACTGATCTTAAAACAGCCAGTCAGATAGGGGTGTCACGTATAATGACAATGCTCTTGAGTTTTTTTGAAATCTGGAGTCCAGGCCCACTTAGCTGGAGAAGGAGAAAATTCTACAGGAGAGACCAGGAGACCAGGAGACCAACTCGTTTCCACCTCTTTCCTGATCCTCTGCCCCTTCCCTCCACTGAAGTCAAAGGGCGGGTGATACTCTAAGCCTGATTTCTCTCAGACGCAGTCCCATCCTGAGCTAATGGTTAGGGAAAAGGACATCACTCACCCACATAGAAATACTCTGGGGACTTGTCCTCTGAAGATAAATCCTTCATGGTGCCTCCAAACCGAAACCACAGTCCAAAAGCAATGACTGCCGACCCTGCCAGCTGAAAAGTAAACAATACCACATTTAGGAGGGGAGAATGTACATGAACTCGAGAGCAGGCGGAGTCACAGAGTGTAGAGGGTCAACCCTCAGAGATCACCTAGCCCACCCTTCACATTTCACAGGAGAGGAAACTGAGGCTCAGATAATGATGTGCTTGAAGCCTCCCAGGTCCCCGGTATCACAATAGGATTGGGGTTTACTGACTCTAAGCCCAGATTTTTTTCCCATCCTGTCAGGCTGCTATGGTTATGGGGCATACACAGCACAGCCTGGAAGCCTTCTCACAAAGAATGGTCCAATAACATTCCCCTTGGAGGGCATCTTTCCCCTGCCTTATTGTCCCTTGTTGGGTAATTTGGACCTCTTTACCAACACCATCTGGAATCCCTGGGTGGTTAAGCTCAACTACTAGCCGAAGGGTTGGTGGTTTGAACAGAGGTATATCTAGGGTGTGGCAGGTATGGCACGTGCCCTGGGTACCGCTTGAGGGGGGCACCAATCAACAGTTTCTATTTGTCATTGCAGTTTTCACTGCCAGCTGTGTAAGATCATTCAGCAATTGAAAACTAATTGCCACAGACGTGATTTTCCATAGATATGCCTCTGGGTTCGAACCCATCCAGAGGCCACAGTTTTGAAAACCCTATGGAGCACAGTTCTGCTCTGCACACCTGATGAGGCTGCTATGGGTTGGAATCAACTAACACCACCACAGTGACAGGTGACTGTGCTTCAGTTGCTGGGTCACCAAGAGCAAGATGAACTCTGGGATCTGGGGGAAACCCTTTTTTCTAAATGGAAAGAAACACACCAACCTCAGACTCCGCCCACATCTCATGAGTGTGCAGTTCCCAGTTAGAAAGCTTTTTTAGAGATGTCTGTAACTCTTTCTCCCCCCACTCAACAGTCACCATGCTGCCTAGGGATGGTTGCAAGGAGGGAGACTGGTCTTTTTTTTTTTTTTTTTTCTATTTTGAGTTTCCATGGAAAGTGAGAAAGGGAAAAAATAATTTTCTGAAAAAACGAGGTCTACGTGCTGTGTGGCTCCGCAGAGAGGCTGAGGGCTGGCGGCTGGTAGAGTCATCACCCGCTTCCTCTCCTTCACCACTCTGAGGGCTTTTGTGAGTCTCAGCCCTGGAGCTGGAACCTTTTCTGTCATTGTAGGACTTCCACAGCTGCCTGCCAGCTGTCTCCAGCCACAGTGTCCTCGCCTTCCATAAACACCCCTCTTGAATTTCACTGTATTAATCAATCAGCAGATATTTACTGGGCACCTTCTGTGCTCGAGGCACTATGGGATAGTGAGCAGAGATGTTTACATCTAATAGCCTCCTGTTCTGCCAACCCAATCCAGTGTCTGCTCAGCTGCCCTTAGCCTATCACCAGATGGACAATCGAGAGGCTTCCCCTTCCCAAATATGGAAGAACATTCACAGATGCTGGCAAGAAGATAAAGGATGGAAGTCATAGAGGTTTAATAAGGAAAAATGATGTCAATGTCAGGACTAGACCAGAGTCCTTTTAATACAACATCCTTCTGTCTTGTGAGCCTGTTTGTTAAGGACTCATTGCTACCCTGTGGGCTATGTGGCTGGATTTATATGACTTTCTCTGTCTTTACCTTCTGTCCCCAAAGGTTAATTCCCTTGTTGCTTCAGAAAAGCAGCAGAACTTCACAGGGAAGTCAGGGGACAGAGTTCTACCAGCTGGACTCTCAAATACGGAATAAGTAAAAATTTCCAGTACTTAGAGGAAAGCACTAATTGGATAATGTGAGGGACAGCTACAAGAACTGGGCTCAATCAATTTTTAAAAGATTTTTGACTTTTAAAAAAGGGTAGCATGGTGTGGAAAAACATTGGAAGGAGTCAAGCTACAACATTAACAATATTTCATCTTTGAAGGGTGGGGCTACAGGTGATTTTTTTTTCTTTTGCAGTGTATTTTCTAAGTTTTCTCCATTATTGCTCTTGTGATTTTAAAAATATTTTTTAAAAAAATCATTACATGGTAGGTGGCTTATATTTCTATCCAGAGAAAGTGGGAAAGTCTTCTAGGGCAGGGCTTCAGTTTGGGAGGAGCCCAGCTTTGAGATCACTGCTGTTTCTGGGACAAGAGAAACAGAGTGATGCCCACGGGGAAGCACCATCCTTGGAACACCTAGAGGCTGCCTGGGCCAACCTTGCCTGGCACAGCCTCTCTGTCAGCCTTGCCCATCCTCATCTCTGCAGTGACTTGATAGAAAGGCAAAGTTTCCAAATACAAAGCAGAAACTATTGACAGAGGCATCAGGCCAAAGCTTGCAGCCACCAAGCAGACTGCGGAGGAGGTGACTGGTCCCAGGGACACCCTACCACCAGGCCACATTTTTGGAATCTCTGAACACAAACTTTAATTTATAGCAGTCTGGGATCATCCTCCCAGATGGAATACATTTGTCCAGTTCTGGCACAGATGTGTTTGATGCATAATGGAAAACGAAAAGAGAGGTTGCAATTTAAAGCCACTGGGCAAGGAAAAAAAAAAATTTGCGCTTACTCATCTACACCCGAGCCCCAAACCACACGGGTTTCCTTCTGGGTCAAGGAAACTGTGGCTTAGCTGAATGTCATCATTATGTGGAGGGGAATCCTCCTAGCATGGTGTTGCTCACTGTGTCAGGGACATTGTAGGTGAAAACCTGGTCAGGGCTGGTGTTGCCTGTGATGAGAGACAGAGGAGTCACTGTTTTGTAAAGTGGCATCAACAGAAACCATATAGCCTTCTGGTCCTTTTTAACTACTTTATTCCTGTAAGGCTCATGAAATACTCTGTGTTCACCAGACTTTAGTTGATCTACCAAAGACCAGAAATTGTTTGAGAAAATTCATACAGACTCCAGTCTAGTCAGGAACAAAGTCTAATGTCATTCAGCTTTCATCACTCCCTGTAATTCACACAGTGAAAGAGATGGTGACCTCATGGAACTGCCTGAGGAAAGCCTTCAACCCCTACTAATCCAGTATTTTAACCTTAACCAGTGGCTATCAAGTGGATTCCAACTCATGACGACCCCATACGTGTCAGAATACAGCTGTACTCCACAGGATTTTTTTTTAACATTTTCTATTTTTTTTGTTGCTCAGAATATACACAAAACATACACCAGTTCAACAGTGTGTACACGTACCATTTAGTGACACTGATTAAATTCTTTGCATTGTACAATCATTCTCACCCTCCTTTTCTTAGTTGTTCTTCTTCCATTAACATAAAATCACTGGCTCCTAAGGTTTCTATATAATCTTTTGAGTTGCTTTTGTCAATTTGATCCCAAATTATGCTCTTAAAAGAGCATAATGCTCAAAGCAGACATTTTTCTACTTGTTAAGCTAAACTATTGTTTGGTTTTAAGAAGACTTCAGGAGATATTTTTGGTTTAAAGTTTAAAGATTACGTTAGGCAATAGTTTCAGGGGTTCATCTAATATTTAAGGAGCTCTGATGACATGGTGCCTAAGGCATTTGACTGCTAACTGGAAGGTTTGTGGTTCAAACCCACCAGTCACTCCAGGGAAAGAAGATGGGGCAATCTACTTCTGTAAAGAAATACCTCCTCGGAAACCTGATGGCAGTGATTTTGGTTTGGTTTTCTAAGTCTAAAGTCTATGAGAATTTAAAACTCTGTTCTGCATTTTTTTTTTTTCCTTTTTGATCAAAGATTCTTCTGTAGAAGAATTCTTCTGTAGAATCTTTGATCAAAATATCCATATAGTAGCTGGGCACCATCTAGTTCTTCTGGTCTCTTGGCAAAGGAGGCGATTGTTCAAGGAGGCAATTAGACACACATTCCATATCCTCCTCCTGTTCCTGACTCTGTTTCTTCCTCTGTTGCAACAGGCAAAAAGAGACCAAATGTGTTTTGTATGGCTTCTTGCAAGTTTTTAAGATCTCAGTCACTATACAATGAACTAGAAGATAGAACAGAAGCACTAAACATTTTTAGATCATTAATATTAATAGTATTAGGCCATTAATTAGATGTTTCATGAAACCATCACTGTAAATCTCCAAACCAAGGAATTAAATCTCATGAGATGTTTGGTTGTTCATAAGCAGCTTCAGCAGCTACTCATTTTTTTTGTTATTGTTGTAAATATGTCTATCATACAACTTTTGTCAATTCAGCTTTTTACTGGTGTACAACTTATTGACAGCAATTACAATAATCTGTTGTGCAACCCTACCCTTAATCAACGCACTATTCTCATCCCTGTTAACCTTCCTTTCCCCTCATAGTTACCACTAATAAACTCTATACATTTGCCTTTTCTTGTCTTTTTATGTAACTGAAGTTATACAGTAGTTGTCTGTTCGTGATCAACATGTCTTTCAGCTCCATCCCTATTGTAGCATATGTCAAAGCTTCATTTCTCCTACTAGCTGAGTTCCACAGGGTTTTCAATGGCTAATTTTTTTGGAAGTAGATTGCCAGGTCTTTCTTCCAAGATGACTCTGGGGATACCAGAACCGCCAACCATTCAGTTAGCAGCCGAGCCCATTAACAGTTTGCACCTCCCAAGGACTCCAGCTCCTTCAGTCTCCATTTCCCTCTTCTCCTTTTTACCTCAGCCACTTGCTTGCATTCAGATATAGTATTGCTCCTCAGCCAAGGTTAAAGCACATAAAGAGAGAGGCTGCCTCTTTTTTCTTCTTTTCCTTTTCTTGTTTCACATCTCCTTTCCCTTCTTCCCTTTCACATTTATTAACCATCAACAATGGTCCATTCTAGATAGTGTGGAAGGCATTAGGGAAACAATTATGAAAAAGGCATGGCTCACAGTCTAACATAGAAAATAACCATGTAACTAATAAATGCAGTAAAATGCAGGACGTGTGAAGAGCAGAGGCGGATGACCCAATAAGCAAGGTAAGCACAGGCTTACTTGTGGTTACTAGTCTGGAGTGAACAATTTCACAGAAACTCATGTAAAATTGTTCACTTCAGATTAGTAAGTAAGTACAAGTGAACCGCGTGCTTACCTTGCTTACTAGGTACTCCAACCCTGTTGTTGTTATGTGCCGTCGAGTCGGACTGACTCATAGCGACCCCTCCTTGGGTTTCCGAGGCAATATCACTACAGAAGTAGATCGCCCCATCTTCCTTCCGAGGAGTGGCTGGTGGGTTTGAAACACCAGCCTTCTGGTTAGCAGTCAAGTGCCTTAGCCACTATGCTACCAGAGCTCCTCCAACCCTGTTAGGGATTGTAAATTTGAAAAGAGGCTTTGATTCTGTAGGAAGACATTGTGAGGTTGGGAGAGAGACAGATGCCAACCAAAGCTAGTAGGAGAATCTTTGACGTGGTGGAAAAATGTGAAATTGTTCACTACAGATTAATAAGTAAGCACAAGTATGCCCTTGCTTACCTTGTTATTGGGTAATCTGACACTGCTAAAGGGGAAAAGCACACTGCTGATGGAACAAAGTGTGGTAACCAGTGTTCAACAGAAGACATTTAGATTTATACCTGGAAGAATGAGTTGGAAGTCAGTGAGCAGGAAGGACTAGAGACAGGGGAGAGTTCCAGGTAGAGGAAATAGCATGAGTCTGGGGGAGGTCAGGGTCAGGGACTTGGAAGGCAAGCTTGGGTGGACTATGATTCGGGGCTTCCATTTAACTTGCTGCCATCTTAGAAAGCCCATGGCAGGCCCTTGAGAAGAGAGGAGCTGGGAGCCACACATTTTGATGGGAACGATCAAGAACATGAATAATGTCTGAATGCCAGACACAGGGAGATGCCAGACAGATAAAGACTCTGAGGGGCTTAGGACCAAAGAGAGGACACTCGGTGTGGATGTGGCAAGAGGCAAGGGCCATTAAGAATTTACTGACATTATCAGATTCTGCTGAGCACTGGCTCTGCCTCCAGGAGTAGTACAAATCCCCATGCTTTTGTAACAACTACCTGCAGAAAAAATGTTTTTCCAGGACTGGATTTTTTCATCCAACCTCATGAGTTGGGCTTTAATGTTAATCGTGTAATTAATGGAGTATGTACTGTGTACCAGGAACCAACGACTCGGAGATGAGAAAGATATAGTCTCTTCTCCCAAGAGGCTCAGAGGCTCATAGAGGAGCTCACCCCCACTGGGTGCTCCAGGAGGGAAGTAACACTGCAGGTAAGAAGTCAATCACACAACCAGCCCACTAGAAGGCACTTGAGAAGATGCCAGGTACCATCATTTACTGCCTGAGCACCAACTGCGAATGGGCACTGAAAAGATGTGATGAAACAGGATTTTAAGGGCAAAAGTACATCCATAATTAAAAAAGAGAAGAAAAATGAAACAAAGATGAAAAGATAGCAGTTAAAGGAACCAACAGAGGCATGTAGATTTGTGCCGTGAAGCAGTGGGTCACCAGCTATCCTGTAATTATATTATATATTTTCATGGGCAAGTTATTTCAGTAGCTAACACATTCCAGAGAGTTTGCAGAACATGAAGTTACAAGTTGTAAATACAAGTCTTTGTGTTCAGTTTGAGCTTTACAACTAAAGAAACAGAAGAGAGGACTAAAGACATTAAAAAGCATTTAAAGGAAAGTGAATGAACAAAATGGCTATCAGCCCGTGACAAGTTATTTGGCAAGAAGCAGAACTTGTTTATGGATTTCAACTTTATTTTACTACATTTATTTCCCCTTCCTGGGATTGCTGAGGGGATGTCCTATCTTGATGACACATCATCATCATCTTCATTATTATTTTTACTTAAAAAAAAAAAAAAAGGTTTCATGAATCACAAACATGATCCCCAGGAGACACTAGTCCGGTGATGAGCAGCTAACTTGTAAATAAACGCTATTCTGCTATCTGGTGAAGGAGTCCCGGTGGTGCAGCAGTTAAGCATTGGGCTGCTAATTGTGCTAACTGGAAAGCTGGTGGTTTAAACCCACCCAGTGGCTCCATAGATTACAGCCTAGAAAACCCTATGAGGTAGTTCTATTCTGTCACATGGCATTGCTGAGTCAGAACTGACTGGAGGGCACCTAACAACAACTGCTATCTGGTGACTGATGGAACCCAGCAGAAATCCCCTCTTTTAGGTAAAAAGCATCATTTGGCAAAGTTCTCAGCTAGCATGTGTGTTTTTGCTGAGATAAGAGACACAATTAATTAAGGTCAGGTGCTCTAGCCACAGGGAGCTCTGCTGGTACAGTGGTTAAAGCATTCAGTTGCTACCAAAAGGTTTGCTGTTCAAACCCATCAGGTACTCTCTGCTAGAGAAAGATGATGCAGTCTGCTTCTGTAAAGATTTACAGCCTTGAAAACTCTATGGGGCAGTTCTACTCTATCCTACAGAGTTGCTATGAATCAGAATTGACTCAATGGCAATGGTGGTTTTTTGGCTCTAGTCACAGTTTCAGTCCTCATCTCCCACTTGAGACCTCAGCTCTTGCTGTCTCCTCCCCCTCTGCCCAGTTAATACCCACTAGCCTATAGCTCTCAGCCCTAATGTCGCTTCCTCTGGGAAGCCTACTCTGGCCTACATACTTACTTTGCTCCGTATCTATTATAGGATCCTGTAACCATTTCTATTTAAGTATTTCTGCAGCTTTAAAAACTAAGGCCTACCCCGCCTGCTCGGCGGCGGAGGCGGCGGCGGCGGCAGCGGTTGTTACTGCCTCTCCGCCACCTCCACCCCGGCCTATCTCCCGGCTGGCGGCGTTGGCTGGGAGGGGGACAGTAGTTGTAGACACCCGCCCCTGCCTCAGAGAAGGAGAATGGGAGTGGAATATTGGACAAAATAAATTTTATAATCTCTGCATCATGACTTTTAGTTCCCTGGTTATTGCAGTCTCACTGTGGGAAATTCATGTTGAAAGACTGAAGCAGTTAATGAGCAAATATGATCACATTTCTCCACCAAGTTCTCAGCCTAATACAGAGAATCCCTTGCTGTCAACCTAATGAAGCATTCAAAGAAAACATATGACTCTTTCCAAGACGAACTTGAAGATTATATAAAAGTGCAGAAAGCCAGAGGCTTAGAGCCAAAGACTTGTTTCAGAAAAATGAGAGAGAACTATTTGGAAACCTTTGGGTACAAAGAAGAGGGTGATTCCAGACCCACATACAGAATGTCTAATCAAACACTCCCATCTGAAACCATTCAGACTTACCCAAGGTCATACAATGTTCCACAAACATTGGAAAACCGCTTACCTCAGCGGCTACCAGTTCATGACAGCAGACTGAGATTAGATTCTCCAGGCTACTGTCAACTCATGAGGGACTATACCTCAGAAAAACCAGTACCCCTGCACCATAGTCAGCAAGAATATAATTGTGGCTCATACAGTGGAGAATCTGGAATTTACGAGCACTTCTCCTCAGAAAACAGTACCAGTGCCTATCAAGCCAGTCATAAACAGATACACCAGAGGAGAAAAAGACACCCTGAGGAAGGCAGAGAAAAACCAGAGGAGGAGAGGCCCAAGCATAAGAAGAAGAAAAGTGAGGAAATGGATTTAGACAAACACCAGAGCATCCGAAGAAAGAAAACAGAGGTGGAAACAGTCAGTGACAGTACCGAAAAGCTTAAGAATCGAAAGGAGAAGAAAAGTCGAGATATATCCTCTAAGAAAGAGGAACGTAAGCGTAGAAAAGAAAAAAAGGATCAAGGCCAAGAAAGGACAGAGGAGGAAATGCTGTGGGACCAGTCTATCCTTGGGTTTTGAAGCTATTTAGTTGGTTCTCCTGAGATTAAATTGAACACAATAGTTGAAGTTCATGTTCTTATCACTTCTCATATATGGACAGGTACTTTAATTTCTAACAAAGACCAGCTGAATGGAAGGTATTTAGTGTGCTTATTCTCCAACACAAAATTACTTTGCCTTACTTTCTAAAAGCATCATTACATTTTTCTTACATATAATGTAATTTTCCTTAAATAATAATGCCTCTGCTTTTCATTCATCAAATTGCTGTGATAGTGAAGTTATAACTCCCTTGGGAGATCATTTGTTTTAAACTGGAGGCTTTGCAGAACCATTTTCTTGGTTGGGTTTGCTTTGTTTTTAGTGAGATAGTTTTATGTTTGTTGGTTTTCTCTATAAAGCAATTTAGATTAATTATTTTCTTTGTTTTAATTTGCAGTGTGTTTTCTAGGTTGGAAATTGAAAAACAAAATACATTATAATAAGCTTAGATTAAATATGGTTCTAAAAGTTTTCAAAGAGTCCTGATGCACAATCAGCTTATATTCTGGTAATGTTTATAATAAAATGTTCTAATTTCCACATATAAAAAAAAAAAAAAAAAAAACTAAGGCCTTAGCTCTGTGAGGGCAGGGATGGGTCTATGTTGCTGTATCTTAAGCACCTACTGCTCTGCCTTGTAGAGTGGGCTCCCAACAAACAGTTGTTACATAAATGAAGGAAGGACCTTCACAAAGGCATCTTTTAGGCTGATCGTAGTGATCATGAACAATCTTCCTCACAGCTCTCTAAGGGAATACTTTGCAAAGTACTCTTTTCAAATTTATCTGCACCTGGGAAACACTGTGTAGACACCTCAGAAGCACTGTGTGAACACATTGTTGGATACACTTAGCAAAACCCTTGCCCACAGAAAAGCAAAACAAACTCTGAGCATGTAGTATCATCTCTGTGTTTTCCTAAGCCTACTATGCACCATGCACAGCCTTTTACTGGCAAGGGCATATGAACACTTAATTCCATTATCATACTTTCTCTTTCTCTATATATATGTATTGCATACACACACACACACACACACATATGTATACATACATACTCATACACATATAAAACCAAAAACCAAACCTACTGCCTTCAAGTCTATTCCAACTCATGGCAACCCCATGTTACAGAGTAGAACTGCTCTATAGGGTTTTCTCAGCTGTAATCTTTATGGAAGCAGATCACCAGGCCTTTCTTTTGCAGCACCACTGGGTTAGAACCACCAATCTTTACATTAGCAGTTGAGTGCAAACCATTTGCACCACCTAGAACACATGCATGTGTGCACAAGCACACAAACACACACACATATTACACTTGAATGAATGAACAAAATCACTGCTGCATTCTTACTTCTCCAGGGTGATTAGCATGTGGACACACAATTTGCAATTTTCTTTGTGAAGTCACACCAAGTTGGAAGTGACACTTCAACCCTAGAGTTTTCATTAAAAGCTTTTAAGCTAATAATTTGCTCTTGGTGGCAATTCTTATCACCGATGGAATCATGTAATGGAGCACTCCCTATTCTCAAGCTGATTGCAAACTCCATTATGATACCATAAGGGTAATGGAGTCTTATCCTATTAGTGAGCAAAAGTCAGGAGCACATTTTCTCTGGAGATGATATTAATTTTTTCAAAGAGGAGAGAGCCAGCTCCCAAGATTTTCATCATATTATTCAGTGAAAGCAAGGTGAGCATTCAGATGGAAACTTCTCAAAATGAAAGATTTTATCAGAATAAATATGAGGATCAAATGCATGACATCCATGTGAAACTCCTCCGAGGGACCCTGCTGCTCTTGCATTTGACATCAGGACCAGGTGAGGTGGAATCAGGATGCAGGACTGTGGCAGTGAGTGATGAGACAGATGGCTGTGTGAGCTTGGAAATGCATGACAACTTCTTAAGATACTATTTGTTTCAGACTTCCCCTATTATTTTCCTCAAAAAATTCCATAAGAACAAGCTCATGCTAGGAAATTCCTGGAAGACTTCCTGAACGTAAGGAAGTGTTTTAAAATCAACCAATGCTTAATTCTTGGCCCTTATGGAAGATGCTGCAATCTAACCAAGACAGAATCAGAAGGGTTCTATTCATCTCTGGAAAGAACAGTGGGCTCTATATTTGTGTCACACACCTTCTACTATTTGCTCTACGTTATAATTAAAATTAACTTGCATGCTTTAAACATGGATCAACTGATATGTCTGGGAGGCAGCTTAGAAGTATGGGGCGAATACCAAATTTAGGGTAAGAAAACAAAATTGGGATGAAAAGCTTGTTGTGAATGACAAAGCAGATGATTTACATATAGATAGTGGAAGTTTGTTGCATTTATTCAGTGGTTATACACAATGTTTTTTTTTCCTTTATCTAAATACACAGGAAAGGAGGGGAAGAGTAGGGAACTGCAAAAATGAGGAGAAAGAGCTGTGTAGTTTTCTTTAACCTGCAAAACAAATGTCACAGACTATTGGATAATCAGTCCAGAGAGCAGATGGCTTTATCAGGTGAAGATCAAATGTATATAGAGCTAAAATCCAATCTACCAAGTCACAGAAGTAAATTAAACCCAATATCTGTCTTTCCTCCTAATTCCTCACCTTTCATTCCTTAGGGGATAAACTCTGGGGGCACAAAAAATGGTCTTTTCTAGGCTCTCTGAATTTCCTACTTGTAGCATCCAGGTGACCCTTATCGTAAGCTTGCCACAGGTCCTCTGAATAAATAAACACTTATCTTGAAGGTTACAATGATTATTGTGATGTCTTATTCATATCAAGCTTAGTTAAGCAAAGACAAGGCATTAAATTATTTATTTTGCAGTTTAATATTTTTTAAGATGGTTGACAGAACTATTTTTGAGTAGATAAACAGGATTTTTAAATATCAATCAATAATTATCTTCACTCAGATTTAGTTGTTATGGAGAGAAGAAAAAAAATGTTCCAAGCAGAAATCAGTTTGGATTGGAGTAAGTCAAACGCTTTTTTTTTTTTTTTAGGTTAGCTTGGATGGAATCCCTTAGAAATTATGAAAGTTTACAGAGATTGCTTTCAACAGCAACGTTACCAGAGCACATTTGAGGGCAGGAAAGTAGGAAGCACAGGCCCATTTACAAAAGACCAGACAGATTTGAGCTTGAGCGGATTTCTGAAATGAGAGGCAGTAACGTCCGATGCTTCCTGGTAATGTTTGGGGGTTTTGCTGTCCCTCCCCAATTCTCTTGCCCCTAGTTTATAAATGGATTCTCTCCCAAACACCATTACCATGGGGAGAAAGGACTTGGCACACACTTTGAATTTCTATCAACTGCTCTCCTAGAAAATGTTACCTCTTCTGAGTGTTCAGACCTGGTACGGATGCCCTTACATAGGGTAAGAACAAAAACACCCAAATAGACAGTCCTGAGGTACAGAAGAGTGCAGCAGATGAAAACAGGGATTCTATGCAGCTTGGATTTGAATCAGGTTCCGCCAATTACTAACTAGCCTTGTGATCTTGAGCAAGTCACTTAATCTTTCTGACCCTCAGCTTCTTCATCTTCAAAACGGAGGTAATAATGTTTCCTTAAGGAATTAAATGAATTCATGTTAGACACTAAAACAGTGAGTGCCTGACACTAACTTTTATTATTATATTGGTAGAACTGCTAATGTTACATTTAAGCTGAAAACTTAAACCTACTCGAGATAGGAAACACCATTCCCATGGCATCAATGACTGCCCTCTGCTGCTTTCCTCACCACTCCTTGGAAGGAAGATGAGGCAATCTACTTCCCTAGTGATACCGCCTCGGAAACCCAAGGAGGGGTCGCTATGAGTCGGATCCGATTCGACAGCAGTGAGTTTGTTTTTGTTTTTTTTTGCTGCTTTCCTATGTTGTTGTTGTTATGTGACAACGAGTCGGCCCCAACTCATAGCGACCCCTCCTTGGGTTGCCGAGGCGGTATCACTACGGAAGTAGATTGCCCAACCTTCCTTCCAAGGAGTGGCTGGTGGGTTTGAACCGCTAAGCTACCAGAGCTCGTATACTAATTTTTATTTTAGCTCTATGCTCCCTCTTTCCATGACAGCTGGAATTCCCTTGAGTTTCCTAAACCTGCTATACTGGAAATGTCAGTGACCTTTTATAGAAAGTATATTCCCCCTTTTTTTTTTTTTTCTAACACCTAATAAGAGGAAAACATGAAAAGATGTATTTATGGGAGAAAGGATAAATATATTTAGGCTAGAGATGCCCAACAGAACTTTCTCCAATGATGAACATTTTCTGTCTGTGCTGTCAAATACTGTAGCTACTAGTGAGACTTAGGAACTGAATGCTTGATTTCACTTAATTTAAATATAAATAGCCACATGGGACTAGTTGCTACCATATTGGCCAGTGCAGGTCCAGAATTCACATGCTTGTCATGGTCTCAATAGTCTCTCCCTTTTAGTCTACAGATTTGGAGGAGTTAAGAGCACAGACTTTGGAGCCACACACAGAAACCCAGCTCTGCCACTGGGTAGCTCTGTACCAATGTGAGGATGATAGTAAACCAAACCAAACCTACTGATGGCGAGTGAGTGCCGACTCATAGCGACCCCATGTGTGTCAGGGTAGAACTGCACTCCATAGAGTTTTCAAGGCTGGGACCTTTCAGAAGCAGATTGCCAGTCCTTTCTTCTGAGGTGGGTTCAAACTGCTAACCTTGGAGTTAGAAGTTTAGTGCTTAACTGTTTGTGCCACCCAGGGACTCCCTGAATAGGGTTGTTGTGAAGATTATAGGAATTACTATAAAAATATGCTTAGAAAAGTGCTGGCACATAGCTAACATTTTTATAATGCTTACCATTCTTCAGTTTTTGCTATGGAGATTATTTTTCATAAACTGTGTCTTGATTCATACCCTTTCATAATTCTCCATCCTGCTTCACCTGTGCTCTAAACTGTTCTCAGACCTTCTCTTGCTTCTCTCATT